TATCTTTCTCCCAGCTGTCTCCTGGAAGGCCCTCTGGGAGACAAGGCTGTGACATCCCATCCCACCTGCAGCATCGCTGGAGGTATCAGGACTCCTGTTGTTCATGGGAATTGTCTTTCCATTGACTGTCTGCTCCAAGGGGCATCATCACATCCTGTGCTCAGGTGCTGGACCAACTCCTCCTGGCTGCATTCAACACCCAAGTACTTCTCTCCTGGAGAAATCTCTCACCAGAGATTACTTGGCAAGTTTTAATTTGGTATCACAGCATTCTTCCCAGGTAAACATTATTATATTATTATCTGCAATTTCTTGCTGGAGACAGTCAATCCCAAACTGGGGTAGTGACTTGTCCTGTGTCATAACACAATTCTGCTCTGGCAGTGCCAGACACAAGGACATAACCCCAGGCTGGCAGGGTGTTCTCCAGCTCAGGAAAGTCCAGGGGTAAAGTGTTTCAGACACCAGGACTAGTTTGAAATCACTCTCCCTCTGCATCAGGGTTTTTATGAGCCACAGCAAACACAGTTGTGGAGGTTCATCATCTGACAGTTACACCAGGGTACGTTAAAAAGGCAAACCAGAGCTGACTCAACACAAAAGGCTCCTCTAATGGGAGATCACAAACTTTGTGGTTCACAGGGAAGATGAAGTCACATGTACCTGCTACAAGCACAGAGGCAAGTGACTTACGTGGGAGTTTGGGTCTCTCCACTGCTGCTTGCACACACCTGGAAGACGATGGATTGCAAGTGGTACCTGCCCTGTGAGGTTCAAGGCTGGAGTGAGAGGCTGAGTCCAATGAAAACACCTCCTGTGAGGTGTACAGAAGAAATTAGGATCATTTTCCTTACCACACTCAGCAAGATTCTGCTGTATGCCTGTTACTGCCATGCTGACCTTCTCCAAATCACCACAGCACCAGGAGCCAAGATGATGTGACAAACAGCTTGATTTCACAGCTTCTTACAGAAAATCTGGAGCTATGGAAACAGAGGCTGTACATAGTCAGCCTGCAGCACAGCACCTCCCAACTGGGCAATAGCTGAAACCCTGGATTGCTTAGAAAGGCATTCCCACAGACTGGAATTGCACATACACAGATCATGCCCATGTACCTGAGCTGTGGTAAATCATTTAACTTGCTCTGTGCCTCAATTTTCCCCAGCTGCACTAAGGAGCTGGCTTGAGTCAGGAGTGAGTTAATGGCTTTGGTGGCTGGTGCTGTACCAGCACTGGGCTGAGGATCAGCAACTCGTGAAGCCCTTTGAGGTCTGCCAGCATAACTTTATTCCAAAATCTGTTTTCCCTTTCAGATCTGACCCCTCTGACCCATGCCAGTGCTTACCTGTGTCCAGCCCACCTGCAGCATCCCCAAGGCAGGTTAAAATGCTTCACAGGGGCTTTAGTTTTTGAAATCTGCAGCCAAGCTCACCTGGATTTGCTGATTTAGAAGTAGCAGGGTTAATCTGAATAAACAACACTTCCATGGGAAAAAACCCTCTCAGGAATGCCAGGCAGTTTAGGAAAAGAGAAAAAAAAACCCCAAAAATCTTTAGGAGGACAGAGTGAAGCAATCAAGCATCAATAAATAATAACTGATAAATAACAAGAACAGATAACAAAGAGGACTTGCACTCCCCAGGAGTGCTCTGAGCACCTATTAAAGGTCTGAGGTCTCCTTCTACCCCTTTCTTTGGCTGAATCAACCCAAACTCCCATTTGTGCCCTGCCATTTATAGCTTCCTGGGGTGGGCCGGGGTGACCCAGGGGTACCCCATCCCACGCACCAGGCAGGGCTGGAGGGGCGCTTGTTTGGGCACCAGCATCCAACCCTTCCTCACCAGCCTTTGTAGTGTGTTGGTCTGTCACTGTATGCACGAGCACCTCTGGGATGAGTTTCTGCTGAGAAGCCCATCTTCCATGGTCAGGGGTGGAACCTGAGCCTGCCCAGGCTCCTGCCAGGGGGACGAGCTAGGGGAGAGCTGGGTCACTGCGGGAAAGGTGATATCCTACTCTGCCAAAAATGAGTGTCAAATGAGTGCAGTGACGTGATGTGGCGTTTCTATCCCCAGCTGCAAAGCACCACATGGGTATCAGGTCCTTCGCTTGGGCACAATGACACTGCAGGCCCCCCACTCACGTTGGGGCTGTTCAGCACCTCAAACCTCATCCTGCAGACCCATCACTGCTCCAAAGGGTTGCTGCTCTGCGCCGTAGCAGGGATGAGCCCTCGGCACGAGGCAGCGGGAGCAGCACCAAGTGCTTCCTGGCTGGGCTTGGAAGGGCGCAGGGGGTCGGCGCTGGGGCATTGGGCTGTCGGCCGCGTGCTGGGCGCCCGCACTGCTCTCATGCTTCCTTCTTGTCTGCAGGCTGGCTCAGGTGCTCCGATCACCTGCTGCTTGCGGGAACAGGAAAGCAGCAACTGAAGATCGAGGGGGACTTTTGGTTTACTCAGATGACAAGAGACAATTTTGGTTCCCCAAAAGCCAAGGAAACAAAGCTGTCAGGCTTTAATGGTAGCTTGTCTCCCTCCTGCAGCATGTTTATGGGCAAACAAGCTGCAGATCAGACCAGGCAAACAGCAGCAGGTGAGGCTCAATAACAATAATTCATGATTAATGGCGAATGTGGCTTTGTTTATTCTTGTTGTATTGAGGCAACGCTGTCTAATGGATGAAGCACTGCTGCAGGACTCCGGGGCCCGGCTCAGCTCCCAGCACTGCCGCCTGCTCGGTCCCTCCCTCCCATCCTGTGTGCCCCTTGAGGGCACAAACTCTACGTGACACAGGAGCCCTTTTCCACACCTGCATGTGCCCAAAGTGATGGGGTTGTGGCCTTGGCTGAGGCTTCGAGGCAGAAGAGCAATGCCAAAATCCATGCTCAGTGCTGGTGCCTGCCTGGTTTTCTTGTTGCACAGAACTGGGCTGACCCAGATGTGCTGGGCTTTACCCTTCGCAGCAGTGGGCTGCAGGGCACAGCTTTCCAGGGCTTTGTTTCTGACAGCATCATTCCTAAAACCTCCAGTATGCGTTTGCCAAGTGTTGTGTCTCCATGTCGCACATCAACACCATCCTTGCCTCCCTGACACTGCCTATGGGGTGACTGGCTAGCACAGAGTTATGTCCAACCATTCTCCAGCCCAGCTTTCCATAGGCTCTGGTGTTAAGTCACACTGGTACCAGCTGGGTTTTCCTCCTCCCCAGCTGCCGTGTGCCATGGATGTGTGGTGAGGCATGATCCCTCTCCCTGCATGGCTCTGCTGTCCCTCGGGTGCACAGGTTCCCAGCCATGCATGCGGCTTGAGCACAGCCACAGCATGAATGCAGGCATGCACAGATGTATCCAAATATAATCCAGTTTACAGAGCACAGCAGTTGTGATACTACAAGCAACACCTGCTCTCCAGGGATGTCTGGTTTGGGGGTGGCCCTTCCTGCAGCAGAACCCAGTCGCTGGGACCCTTCAGGGCCTCCCACCTCAGCAGCTCTGCACGGATATTTGCAAACCATGCTCTGACTTTTGATTTTAAGGGATCCCCTAGAGACTAACCTAACCTGTTCTGGGACTGCGGAAGAAAGCTTTGAAGTTGCTCCTTCCTGGAAATAAATCTGGTTTCCTATGTCTCAGGGGGATGTTCCTGTGTGTGTTCTGCCCTGAACCAACCTCAGTCATGGCAAACACTGACCACAGGCTCCAGCAGGGCACTGGTGCATCCTACCCTTTGCTCCCTGACTTTGTACAAGTTTTGTGCTGGGAGGAAACTCCATGTCTTTCAGCTCCTTTCCATTCATCCCTTAGTCTTAAAACATGAGTCATTTTTATGTAGCATGTGCTGATTTTTATTGCCATGCTAGCAAGTCGTTGAGCTGGATTTACAATATGCCGATTGTAAACACCCCCTCATAGGTCCAGTCCATGTATCCTCCCTGATTAATCCTGGGGCTTCTGTTTCATTTTGGGCATATGTATTTCCTTTATAAACCATGGCATTCACTGCTGCATTACTTGCAGGAACCATCTGACTGTGGAACAGACATTCCTGAGGAAGCACAAAGAATGCCAGGGCTGAAATGATCTTTGGATTCTTTCAAAACCTGTTTTTTTTCCCCCTGAGTTAAATTGGTTATTAATTTCAGAGCATAAAAGCCAAAGAGATTTGGCACAAGTCTCAGCCATAATTTTAACTTATAAACCTTTATTGTATCTAAGAACATTTCTTATGGAATGACAAATGGGAAAACTGAGCCACTTTGTCCCGGTGTGATGCCGTAGGCCCAATGAGATGCTGCAGTAACCAGTGCCTGCATAACCTTGTGTTAATTGACTTTTTCCCATTAAGCAAAGGGAAGTTTGTGCTGGATTAATTGGGTTTGATCTTCTCAAGCTTCCTTTAAGCCAGGGATGATGAAAGTTTAGGGCTGTGGCTATTTGTGGGGCTAATCCCAGAACTGAAGGCAAAGAAACTCTTTCCCCTGGTTCCCATGGGCATATCATGAAAGCACAGCTCTCAGCCAGCCCAGCAGCTCCTGGGTTTGGGACAGGGAATGGTGGTGTTGGCTCAGGTGGTTGATTTCTGCCCGGTGGGATGCAGCATGTGCTGGCACAGAGCTGCAGCTGAAATCCCTGGAGAGGATCGGCATCCTTGTCAGCAGGACCAGCCACGTTTTGCCTGGCCACCCACCTCCACAGAGCACCCAGAGGGGACAGGGAGGGCAGCTGGTCACATGTCCAGCCAGTGATGCTGCAGACAATCCTCAGCCTTCCAGAAGACCAGCCCAAACCTTGGCTTTAATTACAGCTGGGCTGGGAGGTGTGGGCAGTGTACAGGCTTCTTCCTTTCCTTTAACCTTTATTTAGTTTGGTTTCATCACCCCACCTCGCTTCTCTCATTGAGGAAAATAAGGAACTAATTAGACATCCCAGCATCTGTGCTGCTGCCTGGAGAGTCTGGTCTCTCAGCCATGGTCTCCTCTTCTCTCCCTCTTCCTTGTCTCCAGTGCCCATCCCCTCGAAGGCCAATGGCACCACCATCTCCACGCTGTCCATGAACAAAGATGGCCTGATTGGAGGGGTCACGAACCCCAATGAGGTTTTCTGCTCCGTGCCTGGGCGCCTCTCTCTCCTCAGCTCCACTTCCAAGTACAAGGTGACGGTCGGGGAGGTGCAGAGGAGGCTCTCGCCCCCCGAGTGTCTCAACGCCTCTCTCCTTGGCGGGGTGCTCCGCAGGTAAGCTGCCCCAAGAGCCCCAAGATCTGTGTTCAGCAGCAGCTCTTACCTCAGATAAAGAGATGAGAAATTCTGGTGTGTGGTACATTAAGGAATAGTATTTTTACTGCTTTTTCTTCTTTCCTTTCAAACTTCAAACCTTAAACTAGGATTATGGTTATTTTAACATGGATTACATGGAAATTTATTTTCCTTCTTTGTTTTCTCTTTTCAGAGCTAAATCAAAAAATGGAGGCCGGTGTTTAAGGGAAAGGTTAGAGAAAATTGGACTAAATCTACCTGCAGGAAGGCGCAAAGCTGCCAACGTCACCCTGCTCACATCCCTTGTGGAAGGTAACAGTCTCTCCCTGTTCCCATGGAGGGTGGAGTGCTGAAACTTCCAACCCCTTAATTTCCAGCTTTCCACAAACCAGAACACTTAAAATATGGAGTGGTCATCACTGAATGAGCATGTCAATGTCCCTGGGTAAGTCTCCACATTGATTCAAGGATGTGTCCTCTTAAAGAGCAGACTCTTGGGAAGGCAGTGAGCAGAATGCAAATGAAACAAAGACAGCAAATGTCCAAGAAAATGTCCAAGCATGGCTGCCCTGCCTAAGGTAGGAGGTTGGAATTGCATGATCCCTAAGGTCTCTTCCAACCCAAACCATTCTAGAACTCTATGCTTCCATGTCTGTTTTCCAAAATTCAGCCATTTCTGTTCGATCAGATGTGGCCCATGGAAAAGGCATCCTCATGGATGCCAAGCAGGACTGTGAACATCCTTCTGGCTGGAGCTCAGGTATCCCTCATTTCTTTGAGCTGGTTTTAATAGTTGGGTCACAGACACCAAACACAAAACATAGCCTGAATAAAGCTGCCAAGAATTTCCCAGCTGCTCTGCATCCCCGTGAGGCCACCTATGGCACAGCGGAGCTTTCGACCACACCACCCTCGGGCAGCATCCCAAGCTCAGGTCCGTGTCATGGCGCCTGTAAGAAGGAAATGCCCCATATGTAAGTCCTTCCCTCCTCCAGGAAATGAGTGAGACACCATGGAGATGTCAAACTGCTCTGAAGTTTTGCAGGTGGAGCTCAGGTGTGTAGCAGCCACCCTCAGAGCTATGGAAAAGGTGCTGCCCTGGCAGGCAGAGCCCTGCCCAGACATGTGAGGTGCCCCTGCCTAACTCAGTTACTTCCTCCCCTCCTACTTCTCTCCACCATGGAAATGATGATGTTGCCTCTGCATCCTGGGAGAAAAGCACACGGGGATGTAAACAAATGGAATGACAGCTCTGCCCCCTCTGAGCTCAGGAATCCATTGTGTCTGTGCCGCGTGGTGCAGGCAGCTGCCTGCGGATCCTGAATAGAAAATCATCTCCATTGTCGCCAGCAAATTAAATGACCTGCTTCATTAGGCGGAGGTTGTTACTCAGGGCAGTTGGTTCGTGCTGAATGAAAGGCTGATTTCCATGAAAATAAAAGAAAGAAAAGAATGAAGGAAAGAAAGGAAGGAAGAAATGTACAGTTTGATTTCAAGTGGCTGCTGATGTTTTGGTTTCTGCTTCCTGGTCATAGCAAATAGGAGTGATACCATGTGTGTTTGATGGATATAATTTCCTCCTGCTTGTAAGCATGATGGAAGCAGGGGATGTTCCACCCAGAGCAATGTGGCACACACAAACTGGCTTGTGCCCCTCTGGCCCAAACACACTCTCTCCTGAACATTTGCTGACTTGGCTTAATTTGTTTTCTCCCCTCTGCCTTCCTAAGGTCTAATTATTTAAAAGAACCAGTGTCTGTGTCTGAGTGCTAATGGAATACTTTTTTTTACACCAACCCACAGCCACTCATACAGAAGGGGAGGATGTTCCTGGAGAACCCAGGGAGCACCAGGTAGAAACAGCTCCCTTGGGAGTCCTCACCACGTATACCAGGCACTCACCCTCCCTTGGGAAAGACAGCACCTCCAGCCTGGACCCAGGGGAGCAGCAGGGCTGTATTTCCTCTCCAGAAACATCCCTAAGCTCTTGGAAGGAGGTTTGCCCTCAGACAGGCTCTTGCTGCCCCTCTGCCCACCATGGCCCTCTGTGCAATCTCCTGCAGCCTCTCCTCCTCAAGATCTGGCTCAATTTGTCTTTAACACTAAAGCCAGAGTGCCCTGTCCCCCCTGGCACCTCTGTAATCCAGCATCCAAATTGCCTTTAAAAAACATTAAAATGTGCAGCCACTCACACACTCATGGAAGAAATATATCCTGGCTCCAGCCCTGGCTCTGATCATGAGGTCACTCAGCTCTTTATTATTATCCCAGTGTCAGTTTTTCAGCAGTTATTCCTTTCTGACTGTTTTTTTAATGCACAAACAACTGCAATTCTGATACTTTGGGTTTACCTTATTTGCTCTTTCTCTGGAGGAGGAGATGAAGTGGGAAGTACTGTTGTTATGTGGGAAGCAGGGACACTTTCCTATAACAGGGCTCCACAGACTGAGCTCCAGGAGCCAGGCAGGCTGGGATGGGATCTGGGTTAATGCTATTAGGATGGATGGCCTAATACGTGTGAGCAGCAGGGGGGCAAGGCAAATTAGCTCTGCCTGCCCGACTGGGATTTCGGGTGTTGGGCATGATCAATTGCCATCAGCTCTGATTATTTCCACGGGGATGCCTGGAGATGGATCAATTCCATCAATGGGTGGGCATTTCCACGGGGTGATGGATACGCTGCCTCCACGTCCAGCCTGAGGGCCCCTGGGCACTGTGGGGGATGTAACCCCCTTCCTCCTGCCCCTTCCTCCTGCCCTGCCTTGTCCAGCAGTCACGGGGCTGAGGTCACTCTTTGACCCTCCAGTCTCCCTTTCAATCTCTTCTCAGTTTGGAGAGGCCAAGCAGGAAATTTGTGAAGAAGTAGGGAAAGATTCAGCAGGGGATGTTCCCAAGTAGGGAAAGATTCAGCAGGGGATGTTCCCAAGTAAGAAACACCTCTGCTATTCTTCGTTTTGCAGAAGGTGCCCAGAGTCACACCTCATCCTGCTCCAAGGCCAGCAGTGTCTTGATGTTTTTGTAAAAGGTAGTAAAGGAAGGACCCAGATGCTGTTTAGAGCTGACACTGGCTCACTTGGCCCACACAGACTAATTACCTTACAGATAAGAATAAGAAACTCAGTGGTGTTTCTGCAGCAAGAGATGAAGGTGGGGAGAGCTCTTGGGTGGCCACTGAGACAGGGAAGGGCCCTAGTCCTACCAGAACTGAGTCCCAACAGTGAGATGGCTAAAGCTCTGCAGAGGTTCACAGTTCCCTGTCACACTGATGTTGGCACAGTGCTGATGTTCCTCTGTCCTCTCACAGGTGAAGCTATTCACCTGGCTCGGGATTTTGGCTACGTCTGTGAAACCGAGTTTCCGGCCAAGGCAGCGGCAGAGTACCTGTGCCGGCAGCACTCCGACCCCACGGAGCTCCACACCAGGAAAAACATGCTGCTGGCTACCAAGTGAGTACAGAGGGCAACGAGCCACTGGTGCATTCGGTATCTGCAGCCCGGGAGGGCAGCATTAGCCCCCAAACTTTGCTCTTCTGTGGGGAAGAAATGGGCTCACACTGCAGGAAGGTGTCCAGCAGGAGTAATGGCCTGCACAGATTGAAGGGTTTGTTCCTGCATGGGAGAGGGTAACCCAGCCTTGGGGAGCGTTTTGGTACTGCCTCATGTGCCCTTTCAAAGCTGGAGCAGCAGCAGTGGCTCCAGTTCTGCACTCAGGGGCTTTTGCCAGCCTAAAGCCAAAAAACTCCCAGTGGAGAGGTGGCTGCTCAGGCAGGAAGCAGGAAAGGAACCCCAAAATACACCCAGAGAAGTTGTGGATGCCCCATGCCTGAAAGTGTTTAATGCTGGGTTGGATGAAGTTCTGAGCAACCTGGTGTCCACACCAGAGGGTTTGGAACTGGATGATCTTTTAGCTCCCTTCCAACCCAAACTGTTCTATGATTCCATGACTGTGTCCTGCAGCTCTCCACATATATACTAGTGACCAAACCTCTTTTTCAGGCAAATTTGCAAGGAGTTTGCAGACCTGATAGCCCAGGATCGCTCTCCGCTGGGGAACAGCCGCCCCTCGCTCATCCTGGAGCCTGGAGTCCAGAGCTGTTTGACTCATTTCAGCCTGATAACCCATGGCTTCGGGGGCCCGGCCATCTGTGCCGCCCTCACTGCCTTCCAGAACTACCTGGTAGAGTCCCTCAAAGGGCTGGATAAAATATTCATGAACAGCACAGGGAACGGACACACGACCGGGGACTCCAAAGCGTCAGACAAAGAGGTGAAGCATCGGAAATAACAGCGCTGCCTCCCCCGGTGGGAGCTTTCCCTGGGCAGCAGCGATGGCTCCAGGGGAAAGGATGACCCAGTGCACCGTTTTCTAAACTGCTGACTTCGAACGTGTGAGGAAACTCGTAAAGCAAACAAAGAAAAGACAGGAAAAAAGAAGACTTAAAGAATTTAAGAAGAAAACAGTGCTAATGAACGTAGTGAGATTGAGAGAAGCCAGGCTAATGGCTTTGGGGTTTTGCTTTTTTTTTTTTTTTTTTTTTGTAACATGGATGGAGGAAGCCAAGTCATGTGCAATTTGATTTTATTTTGCTTTTAAAGAAACCCATAGTGAAATCCTTCTGTGCTCGAGGAATTTGTTCCAACTGAAAAACTGAGAGGAAAGAGCAAAAGCCTCATCAGTGCAAGACCCAGAGCAGGAGGAGCAGAAGCAGCCAAGGGCAGGGGGACGGAACCCTGGCTCTACCTGGATTTATCTGCTGGTTTTGAGGCAAACACAGAGAAAACCTTCCCATTTCCCCACCCACAGCCCAGCCCTGATGCCAGGCCAAGGAAAATTGCTGGCAGAACTGCTGTGGATTTAAAGCAGATCCAGGCTTTGTTTACAGCTTCAAACTGAGACTCACTGTGGATTTTCCCGTGGGCTGAGGAGCCCCAAGACACAGCACGAGGCAGGAACAACCACACAGCTGATGAGTCCCAGGGCAGGACTGAGGGGAGTCCCCCTGACTGCTGCCCTCCTGGCTGGGGATAAGGCAGGTGAAGTTAAACCCAGGACTAAATAAAACTCCACAACCTACAGATAACAGCATACAAGTTTCTAAAATTAGATATAATAATAGTAAATAAAGCACAAGGAGCAGAACTTGAACTAGGCCAAACTGAACTGCTTAATCTGTATATATTTATTTATGTGTAATTAAAATCTGAAAGTTTTAAAATGTCCAGTGCAAGTTATTTATATCAAATTGAGTTGGGTTTTTTGTTTTGCCTTTTTTTTGTTTGTTTGTTTTGGGTTGGGTTTTTTTCTTTTGAAAGATGAAAATCTTTGGATTTTTTGCCATTAGAAATGGGAATGAAGTTTTGGATCCACCAAACTGTAGCATGGACAAGCTAGGCTGTGATGATGATAACTCTAGAAGTTTTGCAGGATTTTGTACTTGCTGTTGTTTCTCTTAATGCTGCAATAGATGTACAACACCCACACTACAATGTCATTCTCATTCTCTTAATAAACCTCTTTTTATTTGAAGAAAGCACCTCCATCATCTTTGTGAGAAGGATCCTTCGCCTCTGTGGTTGTATCTTAAAAGGGATTAAATAGTTTGTTACATGGAAATTATATAAAATTGCATAGATTTAAGAAAGAATTCTCCAGTTTCATGGCTGGGGGTTGAGTGCTGCCACAAACAGAGCTCAGGAGCTGGTGTTCCTGCCCAGAGTCCCCAGCCCTCATGCTGAGCCAACTGGCGCCAGTGGAGATGAATGAGTTTGCTGATGCTTCAGAACTACTCAGGGTAGTCAAATCTAAACCTGTCTGTGAGGAGCTGCAGAAGGACCTCATGGTATCAGTGATAAAACAGAAGATAAAACAGCCCCACTGATCTCCAGGAAATGAAGCTCCAAATTAGTTGTGTTCGTGGCGTCACCATGAGCAGGAGTCTGCAGCAGCACCTCGTACTCCCAGAGCTTAGAAATAAACACAATGGGAATGGTCAGAAAAAGGATTAACAAAGCAAAAACCAGATTATGTCACATGACATCTGTGTGCTTGCCCTGTATTGCTCTGTCCTGAATGGCACTTACAGATCTTGTAAAATCCAGCTGGTAAATCCATGGGGAACTCAGGTGGGAGCAACTCCCATGCAAGGCAGGACCAAGGGCTGGACCAAGGAGGAAGCACATGTGCAGGATGTGACAGAGGTGTGGAAAACAATGGGATAAAAGAACACAAACAGGGAAAGATGACACCAAACCAAGAGACTGGACACCCATGGTCAGAAAGAAATGGTCAGAAAGCAGGTTTAAGTAAGTCTTACCTGCCTCAGGTAAGAAGCTGTGACTTTTCATGGGAACAGATGTAAAAAAAACAGACGTAAATTTTGACACAATGGAAGAGGGTGATTTTAGGGAGCCTCCTTGCTGTCTTCACTACACATCCTTGCTCCTCACAAAGGGGCAGATGGAGGGACTGAGCTATGGCAGCACTCCCTGCATTGGACTCTTCTCAGAGCTGCACCCCACAGGTTTCTCTGGAGGTGCAGAAAAGGCTGATGGTAATAGAGGGAGAACCTCAAACAGTCCCGAAAGAGACCACAGGAGGTTTGAAACACAAACCTCCATTTCAGGAAAGTGTGAAAGGAAACATTTAATGTCCTAATAGAATCTGTGGGGATGGCTCAGCATCAGAAACTGGCATCTAAATATTCCCTTCAAAGCTTAGAGAGGCATTAAAATATGGAAACGGATTGGAAACATCCCTTGGTATGAGGTTTGTGAAAGGAAAGACCTAAATGACGGGCTCTGCAGGTCTGGTTTTGCTCTGGACCTTCCCAAAGAAAGAACCAAGAAACAAGGAGGAGTCGGGGAGCAGAATGGAAATACTACACATCACATCAGAGGCTTGTTTACACTTCAAAGTCAGTTTGGATAATGCAGGGTGTGAGCCAAAAGCACAAAAATTATTCCTATTTAAAATTATTCCAAAGTAGGAGCACCCTGTTCTGCATCAGCATAATCCACATTTAAATAGATTATGATAAAGGAGAGTAAGGTGCTTTTGTGCTACAATACAGGTTTCCCTACATAGAGTTATTTAGGATAACTATCCTGAAATGATTCCATTTGCAGACATCCTCTGGTGCACGGTATCAGAGCAGAGCAAGTGACGCTCCAACACGGGATGAAAGTGTGTGTGCGTGCACTGCAATATCCAGGCATGAAATATCATTTCCTAATTTAATCACATTATGCAAACCTGGCTTGGCTGGGGCACTTTGAATATCAAGGAATTCTTAGACACAGCACGGATGAGCAATGCAGACAGAGTATCAGGATCTGCCTCCAGTAATTACATACTACATCCATGGGGTGGAAAATACCTCCCTCCTCATTTTCCTTCTTGGGTACCTGCGAGTCTTTGGAATGTTTTATGAGGAAAAGTCTGGTGCCTGAAAGGCCAGGACATCTTCAATGACCTGTGAGTGGGAGGAAGTTGCATGATTTGGATTCACTTGTTGATCAGATGCTCAAGATGAGTAACGGACACACCACATAGGAGCAATTTTCTAAAACATCAAGACTTCCCAAAATTTTGGACACCCTCATTCCTGCAGGCCCACAGAGACACTTCAGAAGAGTCAGGGGTCGTGGAAGGCCAATTCTTGTCTGTACTGGAGTCCCCTCCCAGCTCACTGTCAAACAAGACCATCCCCTGACATGTCCTCTCCCTTTCCATCCTAAGAGAAAAAAAACATTTTACACAATTCCAGGCTCAACCCTGGTATAAATTCCCATGCTGATTACAAATCTCATTGTGGGAAAATACATAGGATTGTGTCAACAAATAAAAATAGATCCAGACTCAGGGTTTCTATGGTTGTTACAAAACACGCTGGAATTTCAATTCTAAAGGGGAATGAAACAAAAAAAAAATACCTTTTTTGGATTAATTTAGAATGAATGACAAATCTAGGGAAACCACATACTAATCCTTGACAAGTGAAAAAGAGAGAAACTCTTCAATCCCTAAGAGTCAGCTGTCCCAAGGGCAAACCAAGGGTAACATGGAGCTTGACTGTGCTGCATCATTAATGCCAGGGAGCAGAGGCTGTGTTGGAATTCCAAGCGGCTTTGGACAGACTAAATAATTACCTTTAAACAGGCACCTTAAAAGCAACAGGGTAATAACAGCTCTCGGTGTGAAACAACCCAATAACCAGAGTTTGCTGACCTGTAGTTAATGCATTCCTTCCTATAGGAGAGTCCATTAAATTCCCAACTTTACATGTGGAATCCAAGGAGCCACACAGCCAGTGAGCAAGGGAAGTTTTTCCTGGTGGTGCAACTGAATCAAAGCACCCACACTGGAAACATTTTCAAGTCACACAGTAAAATAAATGTTTTTTGTGAGGGTGACATGATGGTCCTGAGATTATTGGTGTAGACTCTGCTCTCCCTGTCCATCTGCAGGATGTAGAGCCTTCATGATCCAAACAGAGTTGGCAGAAAGAGTCTGACCTAGCCATCAACCAGAATGTGGCCATGCTGAGCCACAAGTTATCACTTTGGTCTTCCCACCTCAGCTCCTTTATATGGAAAAGAATTCCCACTGTGGCTATCTGAGCATTTCCAATAGGATACCATAAATAGCAAATATAATTCCAGAAATTGAACATGATCATGGTGCTGAAGCATCCCAGAATTTTTCCAAGGCAGGAAATATTATGACAGTGAAGTCCTGGATGGTTCCTTTGTATGTTTTTATACTGACATCTTCAGATGCTTCTAATTTGATTATTTTCAGCAGAGAAAAAGCTAAAATTCCTGAGATCCAGAAGGATTTCTCATCAGGATACCTTTGTTTTAGTAGCAAAGGTTATATCCAAAGAAAATGTTAAATGGAGACAACTCAGCTTTTTTTGGGGTGTGAAATGAGTTCAGAGAAAGATCAATTAATTGCTCCAAGCCAAGAAGTTCTGCAGCACCTCAAGATGTGTCTGGATGCTGCAGCTTCTCACTTGACAATGTCTCTGCTGCGCAAAAGTGCCTTAAATTCTTATTGAGTTTTTCCACATTTAGAACCTTACATTCACTAAAAAAATCCCCAAGACTCAGCATTCTTTTCACAACTGAGAAGTTTCAGCTAATTCTGCAACAACATCTTGGATTTATCCTTAAACACATGCTATAAGTAAATCACACATTCTTCCCACAGGACATTCAAGGTCTTCCAGTCAAACTTTTCCTTTGTCACACGCCTGATCAAAGTGGATCCATGGATTCTTTTAT